GAAGACTTCTCTCTCTCATCACTTTACGAGCGAACTCTCCGTCGAGCTTTGTGGACAAGTCAAGACCAACCAGGTTAGTTGCGACGAGAAGCTTAGTTAGGCTAGGCTTGGCTAGGCTAGGTTGTCGGCTGTCCAACATGAACATGTCTGCCGTCAGACCCACGATCTTTTTAGAATTTGCGGTGTTCTCAGTTTTGTCTGCCCTGCTATTTCTTTTATTTATTCGTAACCAGTCATGTTCGTTTTCACGTCCTGTTGTAGCCACCATTTCATCATGGTACTGGTCGTGGTTGTCAAGGAAGGAGACGGGAAGAAGTTTATATCTGGAACATCTGTCCTAGAGATTATCTTGAAGGCGAAAGAGAGCTTCGGTATGACAGATGAGTGCCCCACGTCGGATTTTAAGGTTAGCTGCAACCTTAGGTTAAGAAATTTCTGAATGCTTGAAGTGCTACATGGCTTGGATCATATATGCTAGGTTAGGTTCTCGGCTGAACACATGTTTTGACAAAGGTTATGTTTTGTTCCAGCTATGTGTGACTTCAGGAGAGGCAAGTGGCCTAGAAGTTGAGGATGATGACACTTTTAATGAATTGGTTAAATCACGTAAACCAGAGTTGTTGTCACTTGAGTTCCTTTCTAAAGACAAGAGCTGTTCTGGTATGTATGATTTCATTGGTTACTTCCCTATTGTCTCTAATTATCCACTCATTTGTTAATCAGCCTACTACATATAATGCTCTTTTTGTTTAATAGGTGTTGTCTATCAGAGGAGAGCTGATCGTGAGGAACCGTCTAGAGTTGTCACACCTCAGACTCCAAACTTCTCGAGGTGCCCTCCACTTCCTATGGGCCCGCTCCTTGACGATGTCAAACCAATCTTGGAAGATCTAAAGAAGACGCCTGAGCCCCGGAACATTCTTCTGATTAAAAGAAGAGGAGTTAGAGATGTGTCTAAGTATTGCTCAAGTTTTATTTGGAAGAATGTGAGGGACTATACTTATTCAACATGTCAGTCATACATTTCTGCTTTGTTTGACTATGACAATGGCCTGTTGAAACCTTTGTTTTCTCGGAACTTTGCTGGAATTTTGCAAGATGATGGCTATTCTACTCTAGTAACATCTGTGTACAATGCACTTTCTCATCTCAAGTGCAAAGCAAGGCTTGAGGCTGGGGAGACACCTCGCAAGAGGCGTCCTCAACAGCGAAGTGTTAACAGGCTTCATGAAGAGGCAGTGGATGATGTTGAAGGACCTGAGCCTAAACGCCCTAAGTATGATGATTATGGTTGTGTTAGGTATAATCCTCCTCTAAGGGTTGGGGAAACGCCTGCCTCGCAGGAGGAGAAGCGCCAAGCTCTGCTGCGGCTTTATGATGAAGCTGAAAATCCCAGTGAAATACAGCTTGAATTAGCTAAGGAGTCATATGAATCGCAGAGAAGTGAAATTGTTTCATCTAGCATTCTTAATCTGAAGAATGTTCTGCAGCGTTGGCCGCATCTTAAGAAGTATAAATGCCTGCTTGATCATTCAGATTGCCTCCTTGACAGGGACTGTTTAAATGTATTCATGTCAGCATTGGGCAAGCATTCCAAAAATATTGTAAATTATCTAGAGAGGTTTTGGGAAACTTCAAACAAAGTCCCAAGGCAGGTGGAGGAAATTATTAATCAGATTTATGAAATTCAAGAGTCAGAAAGGAGTCATGCAATATTTTCTGTAGCCCTTGTACCATTATTATTGCACTACTTCAAAGAAGATTCTGATGTGTTTTACCAACTTCTGAAGGTAGTTCTAGCTTTATTTTCACTTTGCTCAGTGATGTTGTGGTTGTGTCTTGGTGTTAATCTCGCCCTATGCCCTGTTTTCAGTTTGATGCTACTGATGAGGAGGTGTTGGCAGCAGCTTCAAAGGCCAACCTCAACCCCACCATCATTGTTAAAGGTAAGATCTGAGCAGCCGTAATTAAAAATGTACTCTTTCTATTACATCAGGTATTGGTATTTATTGGTATCAATTTCTAATCCACTTTTTTCTCTTTCATAGGCACTTCATTGTATCAGGCAGAGAAGTTTTATGTAGTGCTGCTAAATTCAATTATGATAGAAGTATCAGACTTTTTGGAAGCTACTCTTTTGTCATTTCTGTGCTTCTATGTCTTTGGTGTTAAATATCCCAAGCA